CCGAAGAGGTGACAAAGGTGATCGGCGATCTGGGTAAGGTGCAGATGGCGGACCGGCGAACTACGTTGGAAATCCGCGATATGGATGCCCTTACAGAAAAAGATGACGTACTGTGTGCCCTGGAGAAAACTTCTACGGTACCAGCAGAAAGTAGGAAGGTGACGGTTCTAGGACCAAACAAGCGAGGAGTATAGCTCGCTGTCGTGGTCACGAATCAGGAAGACGCTGATAAGCTGGAGAAAATTGGGCACATAAAGATTGGGTTCGTCTCCTGCAAGATAAGAAGCAGAACTATGGTCACAAGGTGTCATAAGTGCCTTGACTATGGCCATCTAGGTAGAGATTGGCAAGGTGTAGATAGGTCAGCTGCGTGCTTCAAGTGCGGAGAAGCTGGCCATAAGGCAGCAGATTGTAAGAAAAATAATAATAATAATAATAATTCCTGCTATCTTGGAGAGATACATCGACCTCCACGTCCGAAAATACATGTTCACGTGCCCTTGGATATCATAGACGTCGCATCAATGCTCCGGCAATGGTATAACGTCTTTGTAACTAACGGAGGCGGTTCAGGGCCCATCCCGGACAGATGGTAGTACCCTGTTAAGGCCCGATTGTCCATCGACACGGGACAAAGAATAAAAAAGTATGAAATGGATAAAGATTTAAAAAAATTACTCCAAGTGGGTACCTTAGAAGAGGGTAATCCCACCACCGATTCTGATCGGGTTGAAGCCCCGGTAGTCGGTGCAGACGGCTCCAAGGATTTTGGAGGGAGCCAAAGCAAAAATTCTGAGGATGTGGGACTTAGCAGATTCGAAGGAAATGTTTTAGAACAGGTCGATCTGATTCCTAAAATACTGGAAAGTATGTGGCGTGCTTGCAAAAAGCAAAGAAACATTAGCAAGGATGTTCAGGATGGAATGGTGGCATTGGGGAAGGTGCACAAGGTGCTTCGCAGTAACCTGCGTTTTATACCTAAGCCCTTTATTGGCTCAAGCAAACCAAGGTCGAATCCTGAAACTCCTAGATCGATGTCGCACGCCACATCCAGCGAGAGGAAGTCCATCGACCAAAGGAAGCGCCCTAGAGAGTTTGAAGGTCCGGAGACTGATTATACTGTGACCACTCCCAAGGACAAGAGGGTTAAGAGCAAAGAGACCAAGGCAAACCCTACTGCTATGGAGACGGAGGTGAGTAAGGCTGCTTCGGCCAGGGTTGCTTCTTATTCGGAGGCAACTGTGGAAAATAAGACCGAAAACGAAAATGACTTCGAAACCGTCTCCAATAGGAAACGGGATGCCCGTAAGAGAAAGGCCTTGAAGAAAGCAGAAGAGAGGGAGAGACTTCAGAAGCGCCCCCCCAAAATTAGAACCACGGAGGCAATAAAAATTTCGGCCCGGAATCCAGAGACCTACTATGATCTTATAAAACTGGCAACAACTTCGGTAAAGCCAAAGGAAACTGGCACCGAGATTGTGAAAATTAGGAGAACTCTTAAAAAGGAGGTTCTTGTTGTGGTCAAAAAGGGGGGTGAAACTTCAAAGTTCGCTGAGAAACTTACCTCCGTCCTTCAGGACAAGGCCGAGGTTACGGCTCTTGTCAATAAAAAGACCCTCGAAATTCGGGAACTCGATGAAACAACTTCAGAGGCGGACGTTTTAACCGTCTTAAAGGACAAGTTGCAAAAGCCCGAATTAGATGTGACTTGCAGAGTTCTGACACGTTTTGGTGGTACGAAAGTGGCACTAGTACGCTTGAGTGAAAAGGACAGCGAGAGTCTGCTTAAGCTAGGCAAAGTGCGTATTGGTTGGATAAACGCGTCCATCCGCACGCACTTAGAAGTGACAAGATGTCAAAAGTGCCTAGCCAATGGACACGTCACCCGAATTTGCAAGGGCCCCGACAGAACAAAAAACTGTCGGAGATGCGGCGAAGCGGGACATTTCGCCAAGATTTGTACTAGCGACAAGCCAAAGTGCATTACGTGTGCAGATTTGGGAAAAACGGAAGTCAACCATATCCCTGGAAGAATTTCCTGTCCGGTTTACAAGGAGGAACTGGAGAAACTTAAAAGGGCAAATCCCTAAAGCTCCTTCAAGTCAACCTGCATACAAGTAAGGATGCACAGGTGCTCCTGATGCAAACAGCTAGGGAAAATAAGGTGGATATCCTGTTCTGCAGTGAGCAGCATCAAGGAAGCGACCTCGCTCCTTGGTATCAGGATAGGGCGAAGAGAGCCGCCATCAAGCTTTGCAACCCAGAATTGCGGGTTGACAAGTTCTTGGAGACAAGCAGCGGGTTTATGTGGATAGAGGTGGCTAATATACGAATGTATAGCTGCTACTTCTTACCTAACGACCCGCTGACCACCTTCGAAGCCAATATAGAAGACCTAGAATCGAGCCTCATAGAATCCAAGCTGGATGTCATCATCACTGTCGATTTTAATGCAAAGTCGACAGAGTGGGGTGTTTCCTATTTATCCAGGTGGCGAGTGCCGGGATAAGGCGATAAGTCCATCGACCTTTCTCCTCACCATCCCATCTTTCTTGCCATCTTTCTATGAGCCTGTGCCTCGCTTCTTTGCGAATCAGGCCCTTGCTTGGTCTTAATTCCTCATCCAAGGAACTTCTTTCTTTAGAAAAGAGAAACATTTCTTCCCTTTCCCTCACCAAAAGATCTGCTGGCGGGACACTTGCAAGGACCTGCACAGCACTCGTAGATTCCGTCTTATATGCAGAGATGATACGCGTTGTTATCGCTCTCTGCGCAGACAGTACCTTTTCACAGATGGTTACACATCTTTTACTCCTCAGGGATGGGGCCCATGCTGGTGCTGCGTAGAGCATTTTAGCATGGGCGAAACTCGCCACCAGTCTTTTTTTTTTGTTCACAGGGTCCGCCAACATTTGGCATTAACCGTGAAAGATTAGCCGCACACTCGATCGCCTTATTTGACGCCGTAGCCATGTGGTGGTGGAAGTTTAACCTTCCATCCAACTCCACACCAAGGTATTTAATTTGTTTACTCCACTTGACCTCGAATCCGTCCATCACAATTCGTGGGAGCTCATAACCACGTCTGTCTGTGACCAGCAGTACCTCGGTCTTTTCCAGGGCCATTTCAAGACCTCTGGTATCCAGCCAGCTTTTTGCTAGTCGCAGACATTCGTTTACCAATGTCCCAAGAGCCTCCTCACTCTCGGAAGTGCACACGAACAACGCGTCGTCCGCAAAGCCGATGATCATCGCACCTTCGGGCAGATCCATTCGCAGAAAATCATCGTAAGATACATTCCATACAAATGGACCCACCCTCGAGCCTTGAGGAGCCCCACGCTGCATCTCTTCCCTGAAAGTGCAGGTGTCTCCCTCATATATAACTCACCTGTCGCTAAGATAATTATCCATTATCCGCAACAAGTAGGGCGGCCTGTTTTTCTTTTCCATCGACTTGATGAGATCTTTCCATCTTGCGGAATTAAACGCGTTGCGTATGTCAATTGCTACCAACGCGCAGAAGCTCTTCTTTTTCCCAGGTCCCAATTTGTTTTTTCCTGCTTTGGCTTTGTCCACAACTGCCTGGATGGCATCAACTGTGGACTTGCCTTTACAGAAACCAAATTGGTGATCTGATAGACGATTCTCTTCGGTCAAGTGGCTTTGCATTCTCTGCAGAACCATATCATCTAGAAGTTTACCCATCGTATCTAGCAGGCATATAGGCCTGTATGATGAGGCTTTATCTAGAGGTTTTTCGCCTTTCCTCAGGAGGACTAACCTCTGTCGCTTCCAGTCGCGAAAGAACTCTCCTCTCTCAAGGCAAAGATTAAAGCATCGAAGCAGAATCTGGGGTGAAGTGTCGATTACCAACTTTAGGATCTTGTTACTTATCCCATCGATTCCAGGCGCCTTGCCTGTTTTCAATCTTTTGCCTGCTTTTTGCAGTTCACTAAGTGTGAAGAGTTATTCCTCTTCGACTTTGCAAAAACTCTAGTCCCTTTTAAGGTATGGTTCTGCAGGAGGAAACAAAGAACTTATTATCTTTCTGACCCAATCGGGATTGTCCAGGCCGGGGGTCTTTTGCCTCGTCACTATTTTCTTAGTCACGATTTTAAAAGCCAGACCCCATGGGTCCTTATCGACTTCCTCGATTAGGTCCTTCCAGCTATGGCGTCGCGACTTGCGGATCTCTTTCTTGAGGTCCTTTTTCGCCTCCTTGAAAGCCTCTTTCAGCAAGGGATCTCCCTTAGATCGGGTATATGTCCTTCTCGCTTTGAGGCATTCCTTTCTCAAGGAGGCTAGCTCCTCTGAACACCAGTGCAAGGATTTTCTTACGGAAGTGGCGCCTTTGCGTGGCATTGACGCATTGCGAGCGGTGACTATCATGTTCCTCACCGCTCGCACCTCCCCATCCAGACTGCTCGGCCTCTTCACCCAGCCCAAGTCCTCAATTAAAAGGGCTTCTCTTAGGGACCGGCCGAACTTTTCCTTGTCGAGTCTCTTCATATTCCACGAGGAGGTTTTGCGACTAGGAGCATCCCGTCTTTTTCCTCCTCGTGTGTCACCCATCGAGACTGAGAACTCAATGTACTGGTGGTCACTTGCGGTATATTCCTCAGAGACCCGCCAGTTGGTTATGCGGCTAAATAGTTTAGACGATGCGATTGTTAGATCTGTAATTGATCCGATCGCACCTCGTCTAAAAGTCCATGTATTGCCTCGGTTTACTGCCAATAAGTCGTTTCTGGAGATCATTTCTCCAATACGAATTCCTCTCTTGTCGAGTCTCGTCTCACCCCACTCTGGCGACTTTGCGTTAAAATCACCAGTGATGATGACATCCAGCCTGGATTCTGTGAGGCTCGCTTCTAGGTCTTCGATATTGGCTTCGAAGTTTGTCAGTGGGTCGTTGGGTGAGAAGTAGCAGCTATACATACGTATATTAGCCACCTCTATCCACACGAACCCACTGCTCGTCTCCAGAAACTTGAATGATGCCCAATGTCGGTGGCCCCAGGGAAAAGAAACGCCGATTAGTGGCGACCGTGGTTCAAGCAAAGCAGCTCTACGCTGCCCCTGCATGGACTGAGTCCCTAAAGAACCGCGGCATCTCTGACGAGCTACTCTCCGCACAGGGTGGTTGTGCGGGGAGAGTAGTTTCAGCCTACAGAACAGTTTCAACGAGCGCTGCTCTAGTTCTTGCTAGTCTCCCGCCAGTAGGCTTACTGGCGAGGGAAAGACAGGAAGTCTTTCAGCGTAACAAAGATCTAGTTACCTCGCAAGGGCAGAGTAGAAATCTCGCCAAAGCGGCCATCCGCAAAGAGGCGAGATGTAGACTCCTTGAACAATGGCAAGAGAGATGGGATGGGGATCTTAAAGGACGGTGGACATATCGCCTGATCCCCAACCTCGCCACTTTGCGGCACTTGGTTTAGAAATCAACGCCGATAACATGGTGACTACCATGGTTTAGAACGTGGGCTCGTGGAGGCATATCGAATCCTTCGTTATTAAAGTAATGAAGGAAAAAGATAGAGACGGAAGACGAGGTTGACCGGGGGAATCAAGTGCTCAGCTGTGTGGAGCGTGGGGGGGAGGAAATCATTTAGTTTTCCTCTCACCCACGCTCCCACATGGCTTGAGTTGGTTAATAGCAAGTTAAGGAGTAAGACAAGGGGACCACCACTTGCGAAGTTGAAGGCCTGACGGTAGTTCCACAGGTGGATCAAGTGTCCCAAGTTAAGACGGGAGTGGTTTTTAGTGGGTAGACCAGAACAAGAACAGTCATCCCCACATAACCTGGAATTCATTAACCAGGTATCTGAATTCGCAGATTTTCCACTTCCGACTACAAAAAAAATAATAATAATAATAATAATCCCCGCCGATGGTTGTCCACTACCGAACATCATCGATGTCTTCGACGTGCTGGGAGAAGCGGATCCACTGCCAAATGTCATTGATTTCTTTGATGGGCTGGGAGAAGTGGGTCGACTGCCAGACATGATTGATTTCTTTGATGCGTTGGGAGAGGTGGGTCCGCTGCCAGACACAACTGGCATCTTGGATATGTTCGGTAGACCTTGCCGTGGTGGCGGGGCTTTTCACTAAAGGACAACCAACAGGGTGGTTCCCTGATATAAAAAACCAAAAAATTAATGAATGTGAGTCAAGGTGTTAATGAATTACCCCAAGGAAGAACCCCGCAAGGGGACAATACTCCCGTCAGTCTTTCTAAGACCGTCGCAGGCCCCACGGATTTTGGGGGGGGCCAAAACCTAAATTGCTTGGATAGGGAGCTCAGCAGCTTCGAAAGAAATGTTGTTGAGCAAGTCGACATGATTCCAAAAATACTAGAAAGCCTGTGGCGTGCCTGCAAGAAGCAAAAGAACATAAGTAAAGATGTTCAGGATGGTATGGTGGCTATAGGGAGGGCGCACGAGGTGATTCGCAGCAACTTGCGTTTTATCCCTGAGCCGTTTAAAAATCCTGAGTCTTCAGAAGGAAACTCCAGTGGAAAAGAGGGTTAAGTGCAAGGAAGCTCCAGCGCAGAACCCTATACTTCCAAAGGGAAGTGAAAAGATGGCCTCAGGGGAGATTTATGGTTCAGTCACCTCAAGGAATGCATCGGCAGAATCTGACGAATTTAAAGTAGTCAGCAGAGGAAACAAAGGACCTCTAAAGAAGAAGCCTGCAGGAAAGAAAAATGAGCTCCCCAAACATCATTTGAAGCTTAGGACAACGGAAGCAATTAAGATTTCAGCGAAAGACCCAAAGGCTTACAACGAAATCCTAAAAAAGGCGTTTGCAGCCGTAAAACCAGAAGAATCTGGAAATGAGGTCCTTCAGATCAGGAGAACTTTTAATCAGGAGGCCCTGATCGTGGTAAAAAAAAGGAGAGATCTTGAAATTTGCAGGAGCTCTTGCAGGCTTCACAGTGTTTCCCCTATTCCCCTTTTTTCCCTCTATTTCAAAAAATTCCCCTTTTTCCCCCTTTTTTATCAATATTTTCCCTTTTTCCCCTATTTTTTACTTCTTTCCCCTATTTTGTGTTGTATAGCAAGAGAAATTTTTTTTTTGATATAAAATATATTTTATTTCAGTTATTTGTCTCAGAGCCATCTAGGTTATTTAGTTGTTTTAAAGAAAAATTTTATTCAACATAAATAAAACTTTTATTTAAACAAAATAAAGTTTTTTTGAAACAAATAAAGTCTAGTTGAAATTTTACTATTTTGAATATATTGATATTTTCAATGTCGATAATTTATTAATTTATAAATTTTGATTAAAATATTTATTAAGTGAAGCTATAAAAAATATTACATTTCTTAAAATGATATCTGACCATTCACCAGAATTTACCTAAACATATTTTTCACCGAATACATTTTGATGAAAAGTATATTAAAACAGCACAAAATTAATGTTCAAAGATAACAAATTGAGGGTCCCTATCAAAGAACCGGTTATAAGTTTTTGTGACTCAAAATTCTCGACCTCTAAATAAAAAAAGGATTTAAAATTTTAATTTCTTGAAAACATTTTATTTTGGTATAAAGATTACTCAAATGTGTCTCAAAAAATTGGGATTAAAAACAGATTAATTTTTTATTTACAGGGCTATGATTTCGAGCTTAAAAAACTTATAACCGGTTCTTTGATGGAACCCTCAATTGTGTATAAAAAGTGCTAAAGCACAACAAAAATTCAATTTATTTCGAAAAACAATTTTTTTTCAAAAATTTTAAAACAACTTTTTTCGGAAAAAATGGATAAAATGTTTTTTTTCGGGGATATGAATTCGGGAGAAGTGCATTCGGTAAAACAGTAGGGAAAGGCTTTTTCAAGAGTACTCATGATTATCATTATCAAAGGGTATTTTAATTTCATTCAAACACTATATTTTAAAAGTAAATAGTGATAAAAACAATAGCTGAAAATAGTTTCAAAAAAAATTGTTTTCTAAAAAGTTATTAACAATTTAATTTTTTAATACATTTTTCGAAAAAAATGAATTACTTAATGAAAACTAATCGACAGAATTTGATAAAATTTTAACCACTTACTTAAAAAATCTTTCTTTTTAAAACTCCAATTCTAGTTTTAAATTTTCATGTAATTTGTTTAAATAATAATAAATTTTTATAAACAAATGAAAATTTAAGCATGTTCTCAATGAGATAATTAAATTCTCTTTACAGCATTTTATTCTACGTAAAATGTGGAACTATTACCAAAAAAAATTTTAAGGTCCGCATTTTATTTTAATTAACATTTTCAAAATTAACCCCTAATAACTAACAAATTGAAACCAATTCAACGCATTTAACGCGACAGTGCGACCGCCCACGAAACTGCACGCGCCATGTCTTTGTTACAGCGCGTAACAAAAATAGTTGTAATTTGTAAATTAAATATTTGGGACCTTAAATTTTTTTTTGGTAATACTTTCAAATTCTACCTAGAATAAAATGCTGTAAAGAAAATTAAATTATTTCATTAAGAACAGGCTTCAAAAACCATTGGTACACTTCAGAAAGCCTTACCCAGTACGTACCAATTCGGGAAAATTATTCGGTATTTTTAATATTAGGGATTAAAATATTTAGATTTGCTATGAAAGCAATAAATAAAATGTAGAAAACAGAAAACAAATAATAGAAATAGAAAAATAGAAAACAAAATAAAAGTATCGCACAATTTAGGAATGATATAATGTGATAAATTTTATAAATTAATGTTTAATAAATGTTATAAACTAAATTAATTTTAAATTATAGTAATTTTTAAAGCGGTTTTATAAAATAAGAGTCCAAATTGAACTAAAAAATATGTTTAGATTTTCCCCTTTTTTTCCCCTATTTTGAATAAAAAATTCCCCTATTCCCCTTTTTTGAACTTATTTTGCACTGTGAATCCTGCTCTTGCTTTAGTTTTAAAAACTGAAGCCGAGGTTATGACTCTTGTGAATAAAAGAACTCTCGAGATAAAAGGACTTGACGAAACAGCGACAAGTGAAGACGTTGTTTCTGCCGTGAGGACAAAGCTGGAAAAGCCTGACCTGGACATAGAGTGCAGACTTTTGCCACGTTTTAGTGGCACAAAAGTGGCGTTGGTCCGCCTGACTGAAGCGGAGAGCGATTCTCTGCTAAAAGTGGACAAAATAAAAGTAGGATGGATAAATGCTGGCCTCCTTGCGGAAAGCGTGCTTCAAAGCTAGAAGGAATTATACCCGTTCTAAGGGAGATCCTTTGCTAAAGGAAGTATTTAAGGAGGCCAAGAAAAGCCTAAAAAAAGAGATTCGAGCGTCACAACGCCGCTGCTGGAAAGACCTAATTGATGATGTCGAGAAGGATCCATGGGGTCTGGCTTTTAAAATCGTTACTAAGAAATTAGGAACGAGGCAAAAGACCCCCGGCCTGGACAATCCCGATTGGGTCAGAAGGATTATAAAAGCTTTATTCCCTTCTGCAGAACCATGGGTTAGGAAGGACTGGAGTGCCTGTAGAGTCGGTGAGGAGGAACTCTTCACTCTTACAGAATTGAAAAATGCAGGTAAAAGATTGAAAACGGGCAAGGCGCCTGGAATCGATGGGATAAGTAACGAGATCCTAAAACTGGCAATCGACACTTCACCCCGGATTCTGCTTAGATGCTTCAATCTTTGCCTGGAGAGAGGAGAGATCTTCCGTGACTGGAAAAGACAGAGGCTAGTCCTCTTAAGGAAAGGCGCTAAACCTCTAGACAGTGTTTCGTCGTATAGGCCTATATGCCTACTAGATACGATGGGTAAACTGTTGGAGGACATGGTTCTGCAAAGAATGCAAACCCATTTGACCGGCGAGAATAGTCTATCCGATTACCAATTTGGTTTCCGCAAAGGCAGGTCCACGGTTGATGCCATTCAGGCAGTTGTGGACATAGCCAAAGCGGGAAAAAACAAATTGGGACCAAAGAAGAAGAAGGGCTTCTGCGCATTGGTGGCTATTGACATACGTAACGCGTTTAACTCCGCACGATGGAAAGATCTCATCTAGTCGATGATGGAGAAGAGAATACCGCCCTACTTGTTGCGGATAATGAATGATTATCTTAGCGACAGGTGGGTAATCTATGAGGGGGACAACTGGACTCTGAAGGAAGAGATGCAATGTGGTGCCCCCCAAGGCTCGAGGGTGGGACCATTCGTGTGGAATGTATCCTATGATAACTTCCTGCGAATGGGTCTACTTGAAGGCGCGGTCATCATCGGCTTTGCGGACGATGCGTTGGTCGTGTGCTCAGCCGAAAGCGAGGAAGCCCTTGGGACATTGGTGAACGAATGTCTGCGTCGAGTTAAAAGCTGGCTGGATGCCAGAGGTCTTCAAATGGCCTTGGAGAAAACCGAAGCTCTGCTCGTCACAGACAAACGTGGTTATAGTTTCCCACGAAT